CATCACCACTACAAACCATCCCCACTACCACCATCACTACAACTATCACCTCCCCCCCCCACTATCACTACTACAACGCCATCACCATTTACCACCATCACCTTTACCAGTACCATCACCACTTCCACCATCACCTTTCCCACCACCACCACCAACATCACCACTACCACCATCACCACTACCACCATCACCACTACAACTATCACCACTACTACCATCACCACTACCACCATCACCACGACACCCATCACCACGATAATTACACCACTAAAATCATCACTACTGCCATCATCATGTTATTTCTATTCTTCTGCTGAACAACGGTTTAGTGCCGATGGAGGTAGCGTAGGTAGCAATGATACGGCCGTGGACTAGTTTGGCTTTAATTGGGTAGGAGTGAGTACACAACGGGCAGTGTGAGGGAGTGACCGCAAGCCAGTCCGTGGAGGGGGAGCACTTGTGTCTGTCAAGTTGGCCCGGCTAGGAGTGAGGGAGAGGCCCAGGGGCCCGGCAGGCTAGCGTGCCTACCTAGAGGCCTGGCTACAGAGGGCAGCACCTGAGTGGCGCAAAATATGAACTAAGCTGGCAGACAGCCTGGGCTGTCTGTGCAGACAGTACAGGCTGTCTACATACGCTGGGCCACCTACCGCGCATCGTCCCGACGCGACAATACTGGTGGGCCGTAGGTATAAAGGAATTACGTACACTAGCTACCCCAGAGAGGAACTGGCTTTCACTCACTAGTAAATAAAAATGGACATAAAATGCAACAGGCAAAAAAAAACTCTCCCATCCAGGGGAAGAGAAAATGGTTTGCCCGAGCTGTTTCATCGAGGAGAGAGTCCGGAGACGTCAGCACTGGAACTAAAATCTTCTATATACAGGTTGTCCGCAGGGCTGAACATCAGTTGACCACTCGTCTACGAACGTTGTTGCACCCTCACATCTGCAAACAATGACTGACAGTAGCATTTTTCCCAAGGTGTGACATGTGACTCAGAGGGCAGCACTGCCCTGACCGTAATACAGGCTTTTTTTTTCTTTTGTTATAAAAACACTGGTGCACCTACGTACAATAATACTATACCCATGGAATTCATTACACTCTGAGTACCCTTCTAAAAGTATTTACATAATTACAAGATGTTGTCCACCCTGACTCTATTATCGACTAGCTATACAATGTGTGTGCTTTTATACCCATTTCTGCAAGCAAACAATTAGCATAACTAGCGTAGGAGTCAGACAAGTCAGTAGGTACGTCAATGTCACAGAAATGTACTGTTGTCCTGGGTCGCAGGCCATAAGTATGGAGCCTTACTGGGCCGTCTTCCGTACCAGTAGTAGTGGGAGAAGGGATAGACGGTTTGTCCCTAACATTAATCTGATCGTGGCGTTGCAATGCACGCGCCTCCAGCTCTGCTTCGGCTGCATATGTCCACATACTTCATGTGATCAAGGTGGGCTTCCTTGAGAGTTCCCGTAGCAATCTCCCTCACCTCGAACTTATTGCCACGGAGCTGTCGTAGGACACGGTAAGGACCCACAAACTTTGGGACAAGTTTGTGCATACCTGGGGTCTGCACTGGGTTGAGCAACATAACTTTGCAACCTGGTTCCACTTTGCTTTCCTTGGCGCGGGCATTGCGCTCAGACGTGAACCTATCAGTAGCTTTCATAAGGTTCTCTCGTACCCACTGGAAGACAAGCTGCGTTGTCCTCATCTTTACTATACTGGGGTTATCAGTATCGTAAGTAGGTCTAGGTGGAGCAAACAGAATTTCATAATATTTTGTGACATTATTTAACTGTCCTGCACCAATACAGTTACAGTTACTGAAGCCATACTTCAGTAAATTGTTCAGTGTCATCAGTGCACATTTTGCCACTTTGCCTACAGCTTCTTAAATTTTGTAAATTTATTTTTGCACTCCTACATTTTAAATTCCAGTATTTTATTCTGCGTCCTTGCACCTCAGTTATTGATTTAAATTGTTCAGTGTTAACCATTTATACAATTTACCTCTCACATACAGTTTTCATGTAATCCCTGTGTGCTGTTACTTTGCTAGTTGCACCTGCAAGTTAGCCACAGATTGTTGACAACCCTGCACTGTTTTGTTTGTTAGTGTTTTTTTCTTTTAATAAGTGTAATCTTCAAGTACTTAAGTATTAGTTTATTCTACCTGCAGTGATACAATCTGTGCCTAGCCCATTAAACTTTTCTTCTGTTTCCCCATTTATTTGCTCTACATATATTCTATGTTTTATCTGTGAATATTCACCTATGTGCATTGCATTTTGCTATTTTGTATACCCAAGTCATTGAGTGTATTTTTGGGAACCTGCTTATTTACCATTAATTACCAAAATTCCTTGTGAAGTTATTAATTTTGACCTTGAGATTGTGCAATTTTTGTTTTGCCAGTGTACACCCTGCTAACACCAGTGTACACCCTGCTAACACCAGTGTACACCCTGCTAACACCAGTGTACACCCTGCTAACACCAGTGTACACCCTGACTAACACAGTGTCACACCTGCTAACAACAGTGTACACTGCTAACTCAGTGTTCACCCTTGCTATACCAGTGTACACCCTTCTAAACCCTTTGTACACCTGCTAACACCAGGTACACCCTGCTTAACACCAGTGTACACCTGCTAACACCAGGTACACCCTGTCAACACAGTGTACCCTGCTAACACAAGTGTACACCTGCTAACACCAGTGTACACCCTGCTAACACCAGTGAACGTGCTAACACCAGTTAAAACTGTAACACCAGGTACACCCTGCTAAACCCCGTGTGCACCCTGCTAAACCAGTGGCACCCTGCTAAAAAACCAGTTACCCCTGCTAACACCCGTGTCACCCCGCTAACACCCGTGTACACCCCGCTAACACCGGTCACCCTGTAACACAGTGTGCACCCGCTAACACCCGTGTACACCTGCTAAACCGTGTACACCCTGTAACACAGTGTACACCCCCGTAACAACCCCGTGTACACCCCGCTAACACCAGTGTACCCTGCTAAAACCAGCTAACCTTTGCCATTTCTTGATTTAAAAAATTTGCATTTTTATTAATTTATTTTGTGTGCAATATGCAATTCTGGAACAGTGTATTTTTTTTTCTGTGATTTTTGGCCTATTCCTACTTGATTTTTTCTGTGCCAACTTCCCTTTTGAAGTGAATTACCCTTTTTTTTTTCTTTCAATTTGCAAAGCCGCCCCCCAATCCCACCGTGTCACCCTGTTTTCTATTCTTTGCTGAACAACGGTTTTAGTGCGATGGGGTAGCGTGGTAGCTGATACGGCCGTGGATAGTTTGGCTTTAATTGGGGAGGGGGTGAGTACACAACGGGCAGTGTGAGGAGTGACCCCAAGCCAGTCCCTGGGGGGGAGACTTGGTCTGTCAATCGGTCGGCCCAGGAGTGGGGGAGGCTGGGCCCGGGAGGTGGGTGCCCACCTAGAGGCCCGGCTACAAGGGCGCACCTGGTGGGGCAAAAAATGAACTAAGCTGGGGAAGCATGGGCTGTCTGTGAGACGTAAGGGTGTTACAATCACCATTCCCTTCAACTTCACCCCAAACCCCTCGACTACCCATCCCCCTACCACCTCACTACAATATCACCAATACAACTATCACCACCTCCACCACTATCACTACTGCCAATGCTATCACCACTACCACCATCACCTTTACGAGTACCATCACCGTTTCCACCACTACCACCATCACCACTACCGCCATCACCACTACCACCATCACCCTACAATCCCACTACAATCATCACCACTACAATCATCACCACTACCACCATCACCACTACAATCATCACCACTACCACCATCACCACTACCACCATCACCACTACAATCACCACTACAATCATCACCACTACCACTGTCACCACTACAATCATCACTACATCATCACTACCACCATCACCACTACAATCATCACCACTACCATCACTACCATCACCACTACCACTATCACTACAATCCACAACTACAATCATTCAATCATCACTACAATCATCACCACTACCACCATCACTACAATCATCACTACCAATCACCACTACAATCATCACCACTACAATCATCACCACTACAATCATCACTACCACCAAATCACACTACAATCATCACTACATCATCCCCTACCACCATCACTACAATCATCACTACAATCACCACTACCATCACCACTACAATCATCACCACTACAATCATCACCACTACCACCATCACCACTACAATCTCACCACTACAATCATCACCACTACCACCATCACCACTACATTCACCACTACAATCATCACAACTACCACCATCACCACTACCACCATCACCACTACAATCATCACTACAATCATCACCACTACAACCATCTCCAGTACACCATCACAACAACAATCATCACTACCACCAATACTATGACCACTTCTGACACCATTATCACCATCAAAGCTACCACCATCACCACTACCACCATCACTACTACATCACCACTACAACCATCCCCACTTCACCATCACTACAACTATCACCACCTCCTCCACTATCACTACTACCACAGCCATCACCACTACAACCATCACCTTTACTTTACCAGTACCATCACCACTTCCACCACCACCGTTTCTACCACTACCACCATCACCACTACCACCAACACCACTACCACCATCACCACCACAAATCATCACCACAAACCATCTCCAGTACGATCACTAATACCACTGCAACTATTACCACTACAATCATCACCACTACAACCATCTCCACTACCACCATCTCCACAACAGCCATCACCACCACCAATACTATGACCACTTCTGTCACTATTATCATCACCAAAGCTACCACCATCACCACTACTGCTATCACTACAGCCACCACTATCAGTAATGTTTATAATTCGAATGTGACTATATTTCTAGAATCTTACTAAGAGTGTTGATGTCAAGGATAAAGCAGTACAAGTTAGACATTTCCATTTTATCTTGCATCTATTTCGTCGTTTACGTCACCGTAAGATAAAATCAAAATGAGACCAACAAGAATCATGACAGCGTTTGCCATGTTTATCATGGCCACTCTCGTGGGACTTATGTGTGTTAGTGATATGTATTGCAAAAGTGTGAATGAAGGAGAGGCAATCTCCCAGGCAATTATTAAAAAATATTACAAAATTTACGGAGCAAGGATAAAAGTCAGACAGATACCTATATTGGGGTATTTTGTTTCTGCTCCTCCTCCACTTGTTAACTAGGAGCCAAAAAGCTCCTGGACCTTCCCAGCCACCATCAACATCTTTCTGGGAAGACAAAACAAAGCACTACAACTCAAACTGGAGGAGCTGGAAAAAACTGAGGACAATTTCTTTTTTTCTCATTTATCTAATATGTATATAGGTGGTGAAGGGACCTCCCATGGCGATCATGGCTCTACTATTGAAGGCGTTGTTACCCTCACACTCATTCTTGTATTAGGAAGCATTTTGTTCCTTTAATATGAAATATGGGAGGTGGAGGCAAGTGAGTCCAACGTCCTCTGTGATGCACTCATTGTGAATCAAGATTCTCAAGAGGAGAGTTCCTTACCACCCTCCATGGTAATCCCTTCCACCCAGGAAATCCCCTCCACCAAGGAAATCCCCACAACCCAGGTAATCTCCACCACCCAAGAAATCCCAACCGCCAAGGAAATTCCCACCAGCCAGGAAATCCCCACAACCCAGAAAATACCCACCACTCAGGAAATCCCAACCACCCAGGAAATCCCCTCCACCAAGGAAATCCCCACAACCCAGGTAATCTCCACCACACAAATCCAACTGCCAAGGAAATTCCAACCAGCCAGGAAATTCCCCACAACCAGAAATACCACACTCAGGAAATCCCAACACGAATCCCCACAACCCAGGAAATCCCCACAACCCAGAAAATCCCCAACACCCAGAAAATCTTCAAGGGAACAAGTGATGACTCAAGGATCAAAGACGCAATAGAAAACTTCGTAAATATCTTCATTGAGGAAAACGGCTACTTTATCCAGGAGGATTTGGCAGCCCTTCCCCTAAGTGGTAAGTATATGGAATTTCTGTTCACTGTTGTTTTCGGTCGTGCTGGATATAATCCTTACGAACACCACCAACTCTGTACACTGATGACCTTAGTGGAAGGTACCCACGGACGATACAAAAGTGAAAATCTACGCTCTAGTACTCACTTTTCAATGACACTCAACAGACATGTCCTCGTGTCTTTAGAAAAGGTCAATTGCTTAAAGAAAACCTCTTTTTTCCTAACAAATTTATTGTTGTTTTTGGTGAGAATTACATATGCAAAGCAGCTAAGTCTTCAGTTCATGCTTGAACCTTTGTCAGGGCTGCTGAGCACGGATGAAGAGATATGTACTCCGTCCATTGTGGCATGTCTAAGGTACATCCATATATTTGCAAGAGATCAACGAGGCACTTACGCAAAGAGGACGCAATAGAGCTACGGCATTTTGAGTCCTATTTAAAACAACAAGGAGAAAAGAGTTCCAGTGACCAGGTTCGATCTTTAATAAATATGTACTTCCGAGACGGAAAGTGTTCGCAGAGCATCACTTGTAACCCAGAAGGAAAATATTATGGAGGAGAGACAAGGCGTGGTCTCCCAAGAAGCCAGGCCAGGGGTGGTCTCCCAGGAAGGCAGACCAGGGGTGGTCTCCAGGAAGGCAAACAGGGGTGGTCTCCCAGGAAGGCAGACCAGGGGTGGTCTTCCAGGAAGGCAGACCAGGGTGTCTCCCAGGAAGGCAGACCAGGGGTGGTCTCCATGGAACAAACGTGTGATCACCTTTCAGCATTCTTTATTAACATAATCTTTGTTGAAGCATATTGTTATTATTATTATTATTATTGTTATTATTATTATTATTATTATTATTAATAATAATAATTTTTACTAATAATATTAAAGTTTTATTATTAGCATTGTTTTTAATTATTTATTTATTTATTAACACACTGGCTGATTCCCACCAAGGCAGGGTGGCCCGAAAAAGAAAAACTTCCACCATCATTCACTCCATCACTGTCTTGCCAGAAGGGTGCTTTACACTACAGTTTTTAAACTGCAACATTAACACCCTCCTTCAGAGTGCAGGCACTGTACTTCCCATCTCCAGGACTCAAGTCGGCCTGCCGGTTTCCCTGAATCCCTTCATAAATGTTACTTTGCTCCACTCCAACAGCACTATCAAAACACGCTCATGCATGCCTGCTGGAAGCCCAAGCCCCTCGCACACAAAACCTCCTTTATCCCTCCCTCCAACCTTTCCAGGCCGACCCTTACCCGCCTTCCTTCCACTACAGACTGATACACTCTTGAAGTCATTCTGTTTTGCTTCATTCTCTCTACATGTCCGAACCACCTCAACAACCCTTCCTCAGCCCTCTGGACAACAGTTTTGGTAATCCCGCACCTCCTCCTAACTTCCAAACTACGAAATTCTCTGCATTAATTCACACCACACATTGCCCTCAGACATGCCATCTCCACTGCCTCCAGTCTTCTCCTCGCTGCAACATTCATCACCCATGCTTCACACCCATATAAGAGCGTTGGTAAAACTATACTCTCATACATTCCCCTCTTTGATTCCAAGGACAAAGTTCTTTGTATCCACAGACTCCTAAGTGCACCACTCACCCTTTTTCCCTCATCAATTCTATGATTCACCTCATCTTTCATAGACCCATCCGCTGACACTTCCACTCCCAAATATCTGAATACATTCACCTCCATACTCTCTCCCTCCAATCTGATATCCAATCTTTCATCACCGAATCTTTTTGTTATCCTCATAACCTTACTCTTTCCTGTATTCATTTTTAATTTTCTTCTTTTGCATACCCTACCAAATTCATCTACCAATCTCTGCAACTTCTCTTCAGAATCTCCCAAGAGCACAGTGTCATCAGCAAAGAGCAACTGTGACAACTCCCACTTTATGTGTGATTCTTTATCTTTTAACTCCACGCCTCTTGCCAAGACCTTCGCATTTACTTCTCTTACAACCCCATCTATAAATATATTAAACAACCACGGTGACATCACACATCCTTGTCTAAGGCCTACTTTTACTGGGAAATAATTTCCCTCTTTCCTACATACTCTAACTTGAGCCTCACTATCCTCGTAAAAACTCTTCACTGCTTTCAGTAACCTACATCCTACACCATACACCTGCAACATCTGCCACATTGCCCCCCTATCCACCCTGTCATACGCCTTTTCCAAATCCATAAATGCCACAAAAACCTCTTTAGCCTTATCTAAATATGTTTCACTGTAAACACCTGGTCCACACACCCCCTACCTTTCCTAAAGCCTCCTTGTTCATCTGCTCTCCTATCCTATTCTGTTTATATATATATACAACACACACACAAAAACAATATTATATACATATATTAAAAATATATATATTATAATATATATATATATATATATATATATATAAATATATATAATATATATATATGCAATAAGATCACAGTAAACAGGTGATTTCAAAATATGCAAAACAACCACTCTGAAAGAATAGAGAAATTCCAAGCGCTTTCGTGACTACTCACATTATCAAGGAACTATGAAGTAAGCATCCAAGGAGGTATATAGGGGTCTGGCAACACCTACTATCAGATCCACTACGGTTAAACACTACGCGCGCTGGCCAACTGGACATGTCTTTGCACAACCACAAACAAACTATTCTACCCAAAGAAAATTTATAAAAATTATTATTGTTCAGTGTATTATTAAATTCTTCCCTAATTCTATTAATTATAAATGGATCCATTTATATAAACCAAAGGAAATATTCATATTATTGTCAAAACTGCTATTTTTGAAAACAAGATACATTATATTCCTGTCGACCATTGACTTGCTTGATACTACTTTCTCAAATTTTTGACAATCAATTGGATGGTGATATATCTTAATATGAATTTAAATAGAGCATTGAATCATGTCCAGTTCTAATGCTATATTATGTTGTTTTAATTAGGCAAAGATGAATTAGTCAAACAATTACTTCCTCTAAATCATCTTTACCTTACAGTATGGATAATAAAAACCACACAAAACCAGGGAATCCAGTCAGTCATTATTAGCTCCCTTGGTCGTTTTCAGATAAATTATCACAAATGGCTTGTTGATATTTTGAGCCTATTGTTGGCAAAATTTCTAACTTTAATGTTAAAAAACAACATAGACTTAGTTGATAAAATTAAGCTCCTTGATGGACTTAAATGTTTTAACATGGTTAGTTTTGATGTTACTTCCTTGTTACGATAAAGTTCCTGTTGATGATTTATTAAGTTCTTACCTGAAGAACTCGCTTAATTATGATTTACACATTGCAGTTCTATATCATTAAACTTATTACACTTTGCATTGTTGTTACAAAATTTGTACATTAATGATAAGTTTTACACTCAGATAGTTTGGTATGGCAATGGAAATCCTCTTTCACCTGTTCTTATGTACTATACATGGAATTTTTTGAAACAAGGTTGCTTAAACATATCCTCCACTAATAGACTAATATGGTTCAGATATGTTATATATTTTGTTCTTATGCCAATAAAATGTCAATATACACATTTTCTTGGAAAATTAAATAGCTATAGCCAATTCTATAAAACTTTACTGTTTGAAATTTGAGGAACAATAACTCATTGCTTTTCTAGATGATTTGCAACAAACCATACCCCCGACCGGGATTGAAACCCGCGCGTCATAGAGTCTCAAACTTCAAATCACGGCTGGGGGTATGGTTTTTTGCATCGTGTCCATTACGATTTCTTGAGTCATGTTGACGGCAGTGAAGGATGGCTAGAGTTCGTCAAGGAATCGCTAGCTGGAGATTGGTCTATAAAAACTTGCATTTGTGGATCACAGTTCTGTGCCTGTGCTTAACCTTCCTATGTGTACACAATATACCTAGTTGGAAGAATCTTATTGTGGCTTAAGTGCGTCTAGAGGCTAACGCGTGGGCTGGAGTTTGAGACTCTAGACGCGGGTTTCAATCCGGCGGAGATGGTTATAATTGAATTTGTTTCATAAAACAATGTTTGACAATAATATAAGATTTCCTTTGGTTTATCAAATTATAGATCATTTATAATTAATAGAATTGGGAAGAATTTTAATAATTCATGGAACAAATAATAATTTTTAAAAAATTCTTGGTGATAGAATTAGTTTGTTCGTGTTGTTGCAAAGGACTGTCAGTTGGGCCGGCGTGTCAGGTTTGTTTAAACCATTGTGGGATTGATATTGAGGTGTTGGCCAGACCTTATTATACCTTCCTTGGATGCTTTACTTTCATAATTTCCTTGATAATGTTGAGTAGTCACGAATAGCGCTTGGATTTCTCTATTCTTTCAGAGTGTGTTTTGGTATATATAAATTCTATATATATATATTATATATATAATATATTTATATATAATATATTATATATATATATATCTATATATATATATAATGTTCATATATTTTATATTTTGTCGATGCCGAATACGAGAGCTTGCCATCTTGGATTAAATAGCGAAGCTCATCTTGCACTATAGGTAAGTGAAAAAATTTAGTATGCATTAATTTTGCCAAAATCTTTGAACCTACGGAAAAAAATATATTTGATTGTGTTTGTTTAGTACTAAATTATTGAATCATATTTAAAAATATATTTAGTTGGGTATTAGGCTAAAATAAATTGCTTTGTTTATAAGGTTAGGTAGTTTTCTAAGATTCTTTTGGTGCAAATATAAAAAATTAATTATACATATATCAAAATAAATGTATCTTTAACTGTAAGAGAAAATTCAGATGGACTTTTTTAAATGAGTTCTTGCTAATTGACAGTTTTACTTATTCGGCACGACAATAATATATATATATTTATATATTTATATATATATTATAATATATATATATATATATAATATATATATATATATTATATATATAACACACCACACACAAATGCCCTTTTGAGTTTTCTTTATATTTTCTCACTGGTTCTTGTTCTTGTTTATTTCCTTTTATCTCATGGGAAAGTGGAACAGATTCATCCCTCCAAAAGCCATGTGTGCTTACTTAGAGGCGATAATGCTGGGAGCAAGGGCTTGTAATTCTTCTGTATACATTTTTATTTTAAAAAAAAAACTTTTATTTTTTTTTATTGCCTTTTGTTAAAT